GGTGCGGTGGCTCAAGCCTGTAATCCCAGCACTTTGGGAGGCCGAGACGGGCGGATAACTAGGTCAGGAGATCGAGACCACCCTGGCTAACACGGTGAAACCCTGTCTCTACTAAAAAATACAAAAAACTAGCCGGGCGAGGTGGTGGGCGCCTGTAGTCCCAGCTACTCGGGAGGCTGAGGCAGGAGAATGGCATAAACCCGGGAGGTGGAGCTTGCAGTGAGCGGAGATCATGCCACTACACTCCAGCCTGGGCGACAGAGCGAGACTCCGTCTCAAAAAAAAAAAAAAAAAGGTACATTTTGTAGAAACAAAAACATGTTTTTGCTTAAATGAATGTATTCTAACTTGAATTTATTCCCTATTCTTAGCATATGAATTTTTTAATAGACTTTAACTTCTAAACAGTGAATTGAAATTCTCAATACAGTGAATTCTATAGGAAAAAAGAATACTACATAAAATGATTATTGTTCATGTATTAGTCATTTCTACAAATTACTTAAAGCAAAACTATTAGAAGGCAGGCCATAATTAAGGGAAGATCTCAAGAAGACTCCTAGTGCAGTTCTTAATATTTTTACTCCTGATTTTCATACTATTATTAATAAGATAAACTCCTCATTTGAAAATACTTGTACAAGGAAGCAGGACAAGTGAAATGATTTTGTAAATCCCAGCCAATCTCCAAGAGAATAATGATCATATTAAAAGTAATGGCAATGACATCACTCTGCATTAGTATAGAATAGTTTGTTTATGAAGCCCTTTTACATGCCCCAAACCAAACTTGATTTCCAGTGACAATATATTATGCTTTATAGAGCTCTGAGCCACACACTGATTATTTGTTCACGTGTTAAGGTAAATGCAAGATTTTTCCCAAGAAAATCCTGGTCCCATGCCCAAGCACTTGCCTGATTCTCACATTTAATTACTTGGGCATATCTTGATTACTGTATCTTTGGTACTGTATTTTCGAAAGAGGGCATTCATTTTATCCACGGATAATGTTTATCATCAAAAAAAGAACCTACCCTTACTTTATTGCATAGATTGTCTGAAGTCCATGGCTCTTGTTAGAAAATTTACCCATATTTTGTAAAATTTTTGTCATAAGACTGGGTGGAGCTAGGTGGGGCAAATTTGCCTCTGCTCCTTGTGGGGTCAGCTTCCACGGCTCATTGGGAAGACTGAAAGGTTCATTTTCTTTTTTTTTGAGACAAAGTCTTGGTGCGATCACAGCTCACTGCAACCTCTGCCTCTCCGGTTCAAGTGATTCTCCTGCCCCAGCCTCCAGAGTAGCTGGGACTACAGGCATGTGCCACCACGCCTGGCTAATTTTTTCTATTTTTAGTAGACATGGGGTTTCACCATGTTAGCCAGGATGGTCTCGATCTCCTGACCTCGTGATCTGCCCGCTTTGGCCTCCCAAAGTGCTGGGATTACAGGCATGAGCTACCGTGCCCGGCCTGTTAAGGCTTTTTAAAAATAATTGGAAAGAGGTCCACATAGTAAGGGAGTGAGGTCTTCCACAACCAATCAACAAGGAGCTGAGTCTTCTCACCAATGGGATAAGGCATCTTGGAAGTTGATTCACTTATAGCAAACTGTAAGAAATTTTCAAAGAATTTTTTTTTTTTTTTTTTTTTTTTTTGACACAGAGTTGTGCTCGGGGGCTCAAGCTGGAGTGCAGTAGTGTGATCTTGGCTCACTGCAACCTCTGCCTCCCAGGTTCAAGCAATTCTCATGCCTCAGCCTCCCAAGAAGCTGGGATTACAGGCATGTGCCATCATGCCTGGCTAATTTTTTATTTATTTTATTTTATTTTTTTAATTTTTAGTAGGGACATGGTTTTTCCATGTTGGTCAGGCTGGTCTCAAACTCCTGGCCTCAAGCAGTCCTCCTGCCTCAGCCTCCCCAAGTACTGTGATTACAGGTGTGAGTCACCATGCCCAACCAGAAAGAGTAATTTACCACTAATCACCTCCTCCTCTTTCCTGTTACTATTGTCCAGCATTTTATTTTCACCTCAAGTTTTCTATTGACCAAGTTGGTTATCTATTGCACAAGTTGGTTATACTCCTAAGGTGCTTATTCAGATTTACCTGTGTTTACCAGTTTCTTTACCCACTGCTATGCCAGTTATGAATTTACTGCCTCTCAGCTCCCAAACTTAGCTTGGTTGTCTCATGTATTGATACTGGAGCTGGATCCTGTGTACTTTGATTTCTCCTTTACCAGCTGATACAATGCCATGCTATACTAGGTCAGTAAGGGGAAAACAGGTTCACTGCAGAGGAAAGTGGCTTCTCTTTCTGGTTCCTGTGTTCTTCCATTCTTGTCTTCTTAGTCCTATTGGCAGCAGTGTGCATATACCCTGCAACAAGTGTTGCTGACACTCTGGAGTGGGGCTTTTTACTTATCAGTGTGAGCTCAGAATCCCTTGCTCTCTAGCCTTGCTTCTTGTATTTTCTTCTTCCTGGGATCAAATTTCTTCTCTTTCTTTTATTGTGTGGGTTATTATTATTATTATTATTATTATTTTAGATGGAGTTTTGCTCTTATTGCCCAGGCTGGAGTGTAATGGTGCGATCTCGGCTCACCACAACCTCTGCCTCCCGGGTTCAAGTGATTCTCCTGCCTCAGCCTCCTGAGTAGCTGGAATTACAGGCATGTGCCACCAGGCCCAGCTAATTTTGTATTTTTAGTAGAGACAAGGTTTCTCCATGTTGGTCAGGCTGGTCTCGAACTCCCGACCTCAGGTGACCTGCCCGCCTCGGCCTCCCAAAATGCTGGGATTACAGGCGTGAGCCACTGCATCCGGCTTCTTTTATTGTTTTAAGGAGGGCTTATTAGTAGTAAATTCTGTCTTTGTTTAGCATTTGATCTTCAGTGATGAACATGTCTTTCCTGAGCACCCACTTTTGAATGATAATTTGGGTATAAAATTCTAGATTGGCAGTTAATTCCTCTCAAGACTTACAAGATATGATTCCACTCACTTTTGTCTTTTTTTTTTTTTTAATGAAGTTTGCTTCTAGTTTAATTTCTTTATAAATAATCTGACTATCCTTTTACTGATTCTGCTCTGTCTTTAATGTTTGAAAGTTTCACTGTTTTGTCTAGATGTGAATTTCTTATGTTTTCTGCTATCACTGTATGTTCTGAATCTGAAAATGAGTTATTTTATTTTTTTTTTTTTTTTTTTTGACACGGAGTCTCGCTCTGTCGCCCGGGCTGGAGTGCAGTGGTCGGATCTCAGCTCACTGCAAGCTCTGCCTCCCGGGTTCCCGCCATTCTCCTGCCTCAGCCTCCCGAGTAGCTGGGACTACAGGCGCCCGCCACCTTGCCCGGCTAGTTTTTTGTATTTTTTAGTAGAGACGGGGTTTCACCGTGTTAGCCAGGATGGTCTCGATCTCCTGACCTCGTGATCCGCCCGCCTCGGCCTCCCAAAGTGCTGGGATTACAGGCTTGAGCCACCGCGCCCGGCCAGAGTTATTTTATTTCTAAAGTAAAGTCAGCCAGTATCACTTTAAATGCTTTCTCTTGTTCATTTTCCAGTTTTTCCTTCTGGTACTTTCTACCGACATATGCTGGACTTTTATATTCTATCCTACATACCTCTTAACCTTTTATATTTTTAAATTTTCATCTCTTTCTGCTATCTCTTGATAATGTCTTCAAATGTATTCTCTTTTTCTGTCTTTAATGGTTTTTTAATGTCAAGTTTATCCTGTTCACTAAGTTAGTATTTCAATGATCTTTGTTTAATTCTGGTATTAGAAAGTTGTGTCTAATCTTTACTTTATCCTGTCCACTAGGTTTTATTATTTCAATTACAATATTTTTCATTCTGCATTTTTTTTTTTTTTTTTTTTTTTGCCATCTTTTTTTTAGAATTTTTTTTTTTTTTTTTTAACTTTAAATCCTTACATTTGCCTTTACTTATATAAAACTCTTGGTGGGTTATGTGTAAATGTGTTCTTTGGTGTATCTGCTGACCATCCCTCATGGGACTTGTTTACTCATGTGTTTTGTAATTGTGGATTGTGAAGTCATCTTAAGTGGGGCTTTTCTGTGGGAAGTTGTGGGGCCTAGGTTATGGCTATGCTCCTACAGAGTGATACACTGTGCATCCTCGTAACACCTGAGTTGACACTGTCCTGGAACCAATTTAAATTGTCACCTGTAGTTTTCCACACTAAGTAATTTAAATTTTGGACTCAAAACCATGGCAAGATGTATTTCCAGGGTTTCAATTTGGTAAGATAAACTTTAATTTAAAAAAAATCTGGATTCTAGAGACCTCTCCTGTGAGAATAGTTTTTTAGTTGCATCTAGATAGGCAGAAAAACTTAAGCTGCTAGCAACTATCAACTTTAATAATTCACCCACCCCCATCCTCGACTGCCACAATATCACCTCAACTATCTACTTCTATTTATTTTTTGTATTTGTAAATTTTCTTTTCACATTGTATGGTATGGCTGCATGATAATTTACTTAAACCTTTATAAGCTTTTGGATTGTTTTTTCTATTTTAATACACAGTATTTCTATGAAAATTCTCATAGGTATTGAGTATTGTGGATATTATTTAGGATAGAGTATAAAGGTTAGATAACTAATCTAGTATCAATCTTCCAGTACCTGTGAAAATTTTCAGGTTGTATGAAATTTTGTCCAGCAGCATTCAGCACCACAGGGAAGGCAAACACTTGGAATCAACCAGGTTGGGTTTTTCTCTTCAGAAGAGTAAAATAAAGGAGTCAGTGTGGTTAGGCTCGGTGTGGTGGCTCATGCCTGTAATCCCAGCACTTTGGGAGACTGAGGCAGGAAGATTGCTTGAGCTCAGGAGTTTGAAACCAGCCTGGGAAATATGGTGAAACCCCGTCTCTACTAAAAATACAAAAATTAGCCAGGTGTGGTGGCAGGGGCCTGTAGACCCAGCTACTTGGAGGGCTGAGGTGGGAGGGGATCACTTGAGCCCAGGAGGTCGAAGCTACAGTGAGCTGAAATTGCACGAGTGCACTCCAGCCTGGGTGACAAAGTGAGACCCTGTTATGAAAGAAAAAAGAAAAGAAAAGAAAAGAAAAAAAGGACAGGAGGCAGTGGCCAGAACAGCATGTAAGTGGGATAATTCTTGGGTAATGAAAAGGACTAGAATGTAGGTGATGGACTTTGGTGACAAAATGCAAACTATGCATACAACAAGGAGAGTTAATGTTCAGAATATGTGAAAAAACTTTCACAATAACTCCAAGGAAAGACTTAGGTTTTCACTACAAAGAAATGCTAAGTGCTGAGGTGACAGATCTACTAAATACCCTGATTTGACTATTGCTCAATGCACACATGTACAGAAACATCACACTGTATCCTACAAATATCCACAATTATCACATATCAATTAAAATAAAACTTCTAAAATACGGAAAACTTCTTAAAAGTAAACAAACAAACAAAAATCAGGAAAAGCAGAGGCCATAGAATTAAATCAGGCCATTTAAATGGACATTCAAGTCAGTCAGGATGAACTCAAGTATAAGACTTTAGGAGAAGTGTGAAAGTTTTCACTGAAAATTTCCAAGAGATCTGAAGGTGGCAGTGCCAGGGAACTAGCAGTGGGGGTGGGTAGCACATGTTTCTAAGAGCAAGAGATTTTCTAATAGGAGGAGAGAAATAATGATTCCCAAGGAATTGGAAGGAGCAAAGAGACTCTATAAACCACATTCCCACCTGAAGTACTTTAAGTACTTTGGAGTTTGAGAGAATGTGTAATCTCTACTTGACATCCAAGGGAAGCAATGCCCTCAAGGGAAATCCAGGTTACAGTTACAGCCAGGAGATGCAAGGAACTGTCAAAGATAGAGCAGCCAAAGGAAATGAGGACATTGGCTTGTCATACAGCTGGACTTCCAGAGACGACAACTGAATGTTTTGTGCAGTGTAGGAGGAAATGGGTGCTGGACCAAGGGAGAGAATTCAGAATATAGTGGTAAGAGTGCAGGAGAGAATGGGAGAACAAAGGGGCTTAGGGTTTGGATAGTCATCACAGAAACCAGGAATGTTCAGCAGAGAGGGTTGCTGCATCAGACAAAAGAATGGAGAAGTGTGCAGGGGCCTTCTTAGCCATCCCACATGGAATCAGATAACTCAGCAAGAAAGTCTAAATCTAGTTATTACGTGTCCAGGAGTGGGCAGTCCTCCTGCCAGCACTGGCCCTATGTTTATGGTTCCCGTTAAGAGAACAGGGGCACAGGGACCAAGACGTTACTACAGAAAGTCAAGTTATGCTCTGAAGCGCCCCCTGCCGGACCCTGTCCAGAGAGACAGGAGCAGTTGAGGCCGCTGGTCAGCACTCTGGGCTATTTTGTGCTCCCTCCCACCTGCCCCTCCTTTTGGCCCAAGTTCTAGCCCCACTTGCTTTGTTACCCCCTCCTATGGCAGCTTCCTCTCTGGTCTTCAGTGTCCTCATTGATACAGTGAACATAGCATCTCTCCTCTAATCACATATATTCATACAGCGATATAAATGATGTGAAAGTACTTTGAAAAATGTAAGTGAAAGACTGGGGCACTGACTTCTTCCCATTTTCCCAAGTCCTGCTTCAGAACCACTCTCCTAGGCCCCAAGCCCCTAACTCCTTCTTGGCCCTTTAATCAAACTTTGCCTACTGAGGGGCCTAACTATATGGTATCCCCAGAATGGGGACTACTATTACAGCCCCCATTTCTTCTCTTTGCTATTTGCCATGATACTCTTAAACCTAGAGACTGGGATCCTCTCCCTAGACCAAAAGGGAGGGGCACATAGGCATCATAATGGGCATTCAGACATGGTATGATGCGAGGGGTGGGCATGAGACAAATGCTGGAGTACGTCTGGGCAACACCCCAGTTACTCATTTGGACTCACTGGGGCAAGTGATTAACTAGAATTCTCAATTAAGAAATGACAAGAAGGCTCCCTCCAATTTCTCAATTTCCACCCCGCCCAATACCCAGTTTGATTCCGCACCCTCCTAATCCATCCCACCCCTGTAATCCAACCCACTCTCCTAAGGCAACCCACTTACCCCCGCTTTTTCCTCAATCTGCCAGGACTCTTTCTCCTCTCCAGAAGTATGTAGATTTTTCAGTTTTCTGCTCTCACTGTTATCCCACTGTGGCTCATGCCTGCCCTCCCCACTAACCTACCCTAAAACTCTTCCTGCCCTGCTCTTCTGCTGTTCATCACAGACTATCTATTTGCCAATGCCGTGGTCCCACAACTCTTTCTGGTAACTTCCCTATCTATGCCTCTAGCCCTCTTAGCCCTGCTTGCCAAAGCTGTGGTTCCAGAGCTCTTTCCTGTGCGTCCCCTATCTATCCACCTACTCCTCCTCCTAGCCCTGCTTGCCAATGCTGTGGTCCTAGATTTCCTTCCTGTCACTCCCCTGTCTATCCCCCTACTCCTCATCCTAGCCCTACTACTTCCCAATACTCTAGTCCCAGAACTCTTTCCTGTGACTCCTCTATCTACTCCTCTACTACTTCTTCTAGCTCTGTTTGCGAATGCTGTGGGCTCTGAACTTTTTCCTGTCACTCCCCTATCGATCCCCCTACTCCTCCTTATAGCCCTTCTTTCTAGAACTCAGCCTCCAGCCCTGCCACCTGCAACCAGACCTGGCGATTCAAAGATCTCATCTTGGAGATGTTTTTCCTGCTCCTGGAGCAGTTTTGGTGCAGTTCAGAATGGCCAGAACCATGGCTTCAGCAGCCTGACCTGGTGGACAAAGAGAAGCAAGACAATGGCAAACCTGCATTCCGCCTCAGTAAGTCACGGGAGCCCTTTCCATGGCCAGGTCCTGGTCACCTACTGCTATCTATATTTTGCCTTCACTCCCATCTTGTTAATCCTCTTCGATTTTCTTTCTCTAAACAGTCTGCTCCTTTCCTTCCCTGCCTGATCAGCCAGATGGCCTAAGCTTCTACATTTGTCCCTGGCTTCTCCATGGAACTCAGTCTGTAGCCACAGAACAAACCACAGGGCCAGAGACAGAGAAGGTAGAGGTGAATGAGGAGTGGGAAGCACCTCATCTGTTCTCAAGGAGGGTAAGTCCTGCCTTGGGTTAAAGTAAGGGCAAGAACCATTACCCCTGAGAGCTCACAGGGCACAAGGCCCCTGCTAGAGAGAGAGAAAGACTCAGTTTTGATTTTGTTTATGTTTTTCGGGTCTTGTTTATTCCAGAATTTATTTGTATTCACCCTAGGATTCCAGAACCACAGCAGGGACTTTAGATATCTAGATTCAACAGAATCTCAATTAAAATCTCACTATATTTTTGAGAACTTGACAACTAAAATTTATACAGAAATGCAAAAAGCCAAGGTTAGTTCACATTCTCCTAAGACATTTTTGCCTACCAGATATCAGAACTCATCATGAAAATTATAGTAATTAAGATAGTGTAGGAGTGGGGAAAACATAGACAAGCAGACAAATGCCACAGATCGAGAGCAGAAGGACTGCCACATTGCTTTGCCCATGCATGGCTACTGAACACTTGAGACGTGCTATTAAGTGTAGAACTTACATTGGAATTTTGTTGTTGTTTTTAAAAAGAATTATTTATTTACCAAACCTGAGACATGTTAGATAAAACCAATTTTAAGTTTATATATTTTAAATCAATTTTGAAGTTACACACACACACATACACACACACACACACACACACACACACACACGCATGCAACAGTTGTCCTAAGGTGAAAGTTACCTTCTCAATAAACTGTTGCAAGTGTTCTCACCCAAGATTGAAAAATTGTTTATCCTGAACATGAAAACCTGTAACAAACTTAATTATGTAAAAGTCATTACTTGTAGTTTTCCCCTTGCAAAGATAAAAAAAAAAAAATGTACAACTAATATATATGAATCATAATGTAATCCTGGATCGTCCCCACACCAAAACCAGAGGCTCTTCTAATTTTAAACCCATCATTAGAGAACAAAAGAAAGTCATTTCATTTTACACAAAGCAAAATTTATATGTGTCAAAAAAGAAAGACCTAAAGAAAGACCGAAACAAAAACCCTCGGGCGGACACTGATGCCCGAAACAAAGACCACTGATCAAAAATAAAATAGTGGCTATATATCACTGCAATGAAATCCAAGAGGCTTCAACCCTTTGGCATCAGAAATCCAGATTTTTCCAATTATGTAAATGCATGTTTCTTATGTGCCAAGAGGGAGGGAAGTGGATGTGCCAGTATGGAAAGAAAAAGAGCCACCACTCACGGGCAATTTTAAACCCATCATCAGAGAACAAGAGAAAGTCATTTCGATTCTCTCACCCAGGGAACTAGCTTTAACAGACAATTAGAAGGTCAGGCAGAAACCCAAAAATGATTATTAGCTACTTGTGTCATCAATTTAAGTGGAGGTGATTGAGTCCTAAGGTTCAATGTAAAAATGTACGGGGCAAAATGTATGCTGAGTTGTAGCTTTAAAGCAAAACAAGAAAACAAAGTAGAAAAGTACCCAGCCTGGCAGCATACGCCCAAGTCAGAGAGCTCTGCCATTAGGATGGGCAGAAACCATCAAGATTCATACTGTTGTTTCTCATAAAGACTCAACAAAATCTTAGTGACCTGAACCACAGATTGAGGGAGTCCAAAGAATGCAGTCATTTTAGTATAGTACAGGCTTTGTGCTGACTTGCTGAACAAACTGCATTTTATTGTGAAAACAAAAAGAAGAAATAATAAAAAACTATACCCCATATTTCACTTAATGGAGGGAGGATTCAAATAAGAAATTATGCCAATCAACTGTAAAATTTCCACTATAACTTTCCTGAAAAGGTGTTTTCCCCCCAATATCTATTAATCACAAAGAAACATAAGTTGTGAATGTATAGTTCAGAAAATAAAAATGGAGAAACTAATGATATTATTATGACCAAGATGTTTGGTAAACAGTGAATTCAGAGTTCAGGATCATCAGGAAGAGGCTTTTTTTTTTTTTTTTTTTTTTTTTTTTTGAGACAGAGTCTCTGTCATCTAGACTGGAGTGCAGTGGTGTGATCTTGCCTCTCTGCAACCTCCACCTCCTGGGTTCAAGGGATTCTCTTTCCTCAGCCTCCTGAGTAGCTGGGATTACAGGCTCACACCACCACACCCAGCTAATTTTTGTATTTTTAGTAGAGACAGGGTTTCACCATGTTGGTCAGGCTGGTCTTGAACTCCTGACCTCGTGATCCGCTGGGATCACAGGCGTAAGCCACCATGACCAGCCAGGAAGAGGCTTCTTAAAAAAGCCTCTGGACTTCAAAAAAGCTCTTCAGGTAGTAGATCTGTCCCAATGTCATGGCAACTAGAACAAGAGCTTCAAAGAAGGACCAAAGAACCACTCTGCTACTTGTGTTGTTGTTGATGGCTCCACGTATCCTCTCCCAATTTCCATGTATTCCTGTTTGTGCTTTCCAGCTGTCATCGCCACTGCTAGCTCACTGATCATTTTTTCTAAGTTGTTCTGGTGAGCTTCTTTTTCCATGTCTTGTCCTTTTGGAGCCTCCCCAATATCAATGGTGAACATCACTATTTTTGGAGTCATGGTAGACATCCAGTTACTAAAACAAACTTTGGAATCCATGTGAGCAGCAAATGTGTACTTCCCACTGGATTCTCCATCTCCTTTGTAAATCCCTTTATTATCTGGTCCTATTATCTCCACATTGATGTCCAGGAAACCGCCCTCCACCACCTCAGAGATGAGGCCCATCTTGGTACCCGAGGTGACCCGCTCAGAGAAGCACTCCTCGGCATGTGGGTTGATGCTAATAAAGTAGCCTGAGACTATGGCTAGGAGCATGGCCAGGAGCACCAGCAGGTTAGCAAGGGTCACCATGGTGGGGCTGGGGCCGAAGCCAGGACCTGGACTGCGGCCTGCAGAGGCGCCCCTGCTGCCGCCCCGCTAAAATTTTAAACAGTAGGAAAAACGGGCTGGGTGCCGTGGCTCACGCCTGTAATCCCAGCACTTTGGGAGGCCAAGGTGGGTGGATCATGAGGTCAGGAGTTCGAGACCAGCCTGGCCAAGACAGTGAAACTTCATCTCTATTAAAAATACCAAAAAATAAAAAATAAAAAAAATAAAATTAGCCAGGAGCAGTGGCAGGTGCCTGTAATCCCAGCTACTCAGGAGGCTGAGGCAGGAGAAAATGAATTAAGTAGAAAGAACAATGTCAAATGTCTCAATTTTTTTTTTTCTTGAGACAGAGTTTCACTCTTGTTACCCAGGCCGGAGTGTAATAACGCAATCTCGGCTCACTGCAACCTCCACCTCCTGGGTTTAAGCAGTTCTCCTGCCTCAGCCTCCCAAGTAGCTGGGATTACAGACATGCTCCACCATGACAGGCTAATTTTTTGTATTTAGTAGAGACAGAGTCTCACCATGTTGGTCAGGCTGGTCACCAACTGCTGACCTCATGTGATCTGCCCGCCTCAGCCTCCCAAAGTGCTGGGATTACAGGCATGAGCCACCATGCCCAGCCATGTATCAATTTTTATATTGAAACTTGGAAAGTAAAATAATTGGATATACCAAGTTAAATAAAACATTATTAACATTAGCTTTATCACGTTCCTTTTTCTCTCCGATGTGGACACTAGATATCTAGCCTAGATAGATAATATTTAGTCTAGATAGGCAATATGTGTCTCACTTCATATTTTTATTGCATGGCACTGATCTAGAAGATAACAGAAATATATCTTCAGGACATCAAATTAGGAAAAGATGCCATAAATGGCAATTAAGAAGCAATAACCATAAAGGGAAACACTAATATATTTGACCACATTTAAAGTTTTGGTGTCAAAAGACAGCATTAAGAGACTAAAAAGGCAAGCCACAACAGAGAAAATGTATTTGTAGCACACATGATTCTCAATAAAGAACTTCAACAAGCTAATAAATAGGCAACCAATCCAATAGAAAAACACGCTCAACAGAGCCTCCCGAACACCCAAATGCATCCTGCAGCACATGATGTCAGAATGAATGTATGGCGGGGAAGAGTGTTTAGGCGCACACTAAATCGGGTGGCTAATTCACCCATCCTAGGGATACCTTTGGATCTTTTAAAGTAAGTGATATTATATGAAGTATCCAGAGTCATTCATAAAAACAAAACTTAAGATAGGGACTGCTAAGGCTGGAGAGATGGGGAAATGCAGAGTTGTTTCATGCGTGCAAAGATGTTCTGGAGACTGGTTTCATGCAATGTGAATATACTTTTGTGTACTTAAAAATGCCTAAGATGGGAAGGCCGAGGTGGGCGGATCACAAGTCAGGAGTTCGAGACCAGCCTGGCCAATATGGTGAAACCCCATCTCTACAACAATACAAAACTATTAGCTGGGCATGGGGGTGCACGCCTGTAGTCCCAGCTACGCGGGAGGCTGAGGCAGGAGAATTGCTTAAACCCAGGAGGCGGAGGTTGCAGTGAGTGGAGATTGCACCATTGCACTCCAGCCTGGATGACAGAGCTAGACTAGACTCTGTTTCAAAAAAAAAAAGCCTAAGATGGTAAGTTTTATATTATGTGTATTTTACAAATAAATATTTAAAAAACCTCTAAAGTCACTACGCTACTTAGAATCAGAAAGAGTTATTCTGTCTATTATTATCGTGTTGGTGATACTGGCCACATTGACCAGAATGTTCTTCATATAGAAAATCTCCAGTTTTCTGAGGCAGACACAGAGTTTGGATTCTTGATATCTGCTTTTAAGTGGGAGAGATTTCTGACTCCTTACAAAATTTCTTTTAGAGAATGATTGGCCAAGATGAGATTCAATCATATGTCCATTACCTCCTGGGTCATCCACTTGGTGGTGAGTCCTTTCCAGGCCATGTGCAAGGGCAGTTCCAATAACCAGGCAGGAGCTGAGAAGCCCCAGGCAGGTGAGTTGACTGCTGGAAGCAGGCGGGGTGTGAAATAAGACCCTGAGAAGTGGGAGCGGGGTGAGGTGGATGGGCAATAAAAACAAGATCTACTCCAGAAGGGTGGTACCACAGGGACAGTTGCCTGGAGATGGAAAAAGATGTGGTTGCCTGGAGTGGGCAGAAGGCGCGGAGCCGGTAGGGAGCAAGAGGGCACCCAGAGTACTCCAGACCAGACCAAGCAGCATGGAGGCGATGGTGGGACACCCGAGGGGGCAGGCGAACCCAGATGAGGTTCATCAGGACCAGATTTTGTGAGGTCTGTGTGACCATATCAAGCCATGTGGAGACCATGGTGGGACACCCAAGAGAGCAGGTGACGCCAGATGAGGTTCATTGGGACCACATCTTGTGGGGACTGTGTGACCATATCAAGCCATGTAGAGGCCACGGTGGGACACCCGAGGGAGCAGGCGACACCACATGAGGTTCATCAGGACTAGATCTTGTGGGGACCGCATGACAAGATCAAGCCGTGTGGAAGCCACGGTGGGACACCTGAAGGAGCAGGCGACCCCAGATGAGGTTCATCAGATCTTACGGGGACCACCTGACTAGATCAAGCCATGTGAAGTCCGTGGTGGGACACTCCAGGGAGCAGGCGAGCCCAGAGGAGGTTCATCGGGACCAGATCTTCTGGGGACCGCCTGACCAGATCAAGCTGTGGGGAGGCCACAGGGGACACCTGAGGGAGCAGGTGACACCAGATGATGTTCATCGGGACCAGATCTTGTGGGGACTGCCTGACCAGATCAAGTTGTGTGGAGACCACGGTGGGACACCCGAGAAACCAGGCGACCCCACATGAGGTTCATCAGATCTTATGGGGTCCGCCTGAGCAGACTAAGCCGTGTGGAGGCCACGGTGGGACACCGACGGAGCAGGCGAACCCAGATGAAGTTCATCAGATATTCTGGGGACTGCATGATCATATCAAGCTGTGTGGAAGCCACGGTGGGACACCCGAGGGTGCAGGTGACCCCACATGAGGTTCATCGGGGCCAGATCTCGTGGGGACCGCCTGACGGGATCAATCCATGTGAAGGCCACGGTGGGACACCCGAGGGAGCAGGCGATCCCAGGTGAGGTTCATCAGATCTTGTGGGGACTGCCTGACTATATCAAGCCGTGTGGACGCCACGGTGGGACACCTGAGGGAGCAGGTGACCCCAGATGAGGTTAGTTGAGACCAAATCTTGTGGGGACAGCATGACCAGATCAAGCCGTGTGGAGTCCACAATAGGACACCCAAGGGAGTAGGCGACCTCAGATGAGGTTCGTTGGGACCAGATCTTGTGTTTACCGCATGAGCAGATCAAGTCGTTTGGAGGCCACGGTGGGACACCCGAGGGAGCAGGCAACCCCAGATGAGGTTAGTTGAGACCAAATCTTGCGGGGACAGCATGACCAGATCACGCCGTGTGGAGGCCATGGTGGGACACCCGAGGAAGCAGGCGACCCCAGATGAGGTTCATCCGAACCAGATCTTGTGGGGACCGCCTGACCAGATCAAGCCGTGTGGAGGCCATGGTGGGACACCCGAGGGAGCAGGTGACCCCACGTGAGGTTCATCACGTTGTGGGGACCACATGACCGGATCAAGCAGTGTGGAGTCCATGGCAGGAAACCCGAGGGAGCAGGCAATCCCAGATGAAGTTCATCAAGACCAGATCTTGTGGGCCCTCCTGACCAGATCACGCCGTGTGGAGGTCACGGTGGGACTCCCAAGGGAACAAGCAACCCCAGATGAGGTTTGTCAGATCTTGTGGGGTCCGCCTGAGCAGACCAAGCCATGTGGAGGCCACGGTGGGACACCCGAGGGAGCAGGCGACCCCAGATGAGGTTCATCAGATCTTATAGGGACCGCATGAGCAGATCAAGATGTGTGGAGTCCATGGTGGGAAACCAGAGGGAGCAGGCGACCCCAGATGAGGTTTATCAGATTTTGTGGGGACCGCCTGACCATACCAAGCCATGTGGAGGCCACGGTGGGACACCCGAGGCAGCAGGCGACCCAGATGAAGTTCATCAAGACCAGATCTTGTGGGGACTGCATGACCACATCAAGTCGTGTGGAGGCCACGGTGGGACACCTGAGGGAGCAGGTGACCCCACATGAGGTTCATCAGATCTTGTAGGGACCGCATGAGCAGATCAAGCTGTGTGGAGACCATGGTGGGCCACCCGAGGGAGCAGGCGACCCCAGATGAGGTTTGTTGAGACCAGATCTTGTGGGGACAGCATGATCAGATCACACCATGTGGAGGCCACGGTGGGACACCTGAGGGAGCAGGCGACCCCAAATGAAGTTCATCAGGACCAGATCTTGTGGGAACCGCCTGACCAGATCACACCGTGTGGAGACCACAGTGGGACACCCGAGGGAGCAGGCGACCCCAGATGAGGTTCATCCGAAACAGATCTTGTGGGGACCACCTGACCAGATCAATGGGTGTGGAGACCACGGTGGGACACTTGAGGGAGGAGGCGACCCCAGTTCAGGTTCGTCAGATCTTGTGGGGACCACATGAACAGATCAAGCTCTTTGGAGGCCAAGGTAGGACACCCAAGGAAGCAGGTGACCCCAGATGAGGTTCATCAGGACCAATCTTGTGGGGACTGCCTGACCAGATCAATGGGTGTGGAGACCACGGTGGGGCACCCAAGGGAGCAGGTGACCCCACATGGGGTTCATCAGGTGTTGTGGGGACTGCGTGACCAGATCAAGCAGTGTGGAGTCCATGGTAGGAAATCCGAGGGAGGAGGCGATCCCAGATGAAGTTCATCAGGACCCGAACTTCTGGGGTCCGCCTGAGCAGACCAAGCATGTGGAGGCCACGATGGGACACCCGATGGAGCAGGCGACCCCAGATGAGGTTCATCAGATCTTCTGGGGACCGCAGGAGCAGATCAAGATGTGTGGAGTCCATGGCGGGACACCCGAGGTAGCAGGCGACCCCAGATATGGTTCGTCGGGACCAGAACTTGTGAGGACTGCGTGACCACATCAAGCCATGTGGAGGCTATGGTGGGATACCCGAGGCAGCAGATGACCCCACATGAGGTTCATCAGATCTTGTGGGGACCGCATGAGCAGATCAAGATGTGTGGAGGCCATAGTGGGCCACCCGAGGGAGCAGGCGACCCCAGATGATGTTTGTTGAGACCAGATCTTGTGGGGACAGCATGACCAGATCAAGCCGTGTGGAGTCCACGGTAGGACACCCGAGGGAGTAGGTGACCCCACATGAGGTTCATTGGGACTAGATCTTGTGGGGACAGCATGACCAGATCACGCCGTGTGGAGGCCATGGTGGGACACCCAAGGGAGCAGGCGACCCCAGATGAGGTTCATCTGAACCAGATCTTGGGGGGACCGCCTGACCAGATCAAGCTGTGTGGAGGCCACGGTGGGACACCCGACGAAGCAGGTGACCCTACATGAGACTCATCAGATCTTGTGGGCACTGCGTGACCAGATCAAGCCGTGTGGAGGCCACAGTGGGACACCCGATGGAACAGGAGACCCCAAATGAGGTTCATCAGATCTTGTGGGGACCGCCTGACCAGATCAATGGGTGTGGAGGCCACGGTGGGGCACCCAAGGGAGCAGGTGATCCCAGATGAGGTTCATCAGGACCAGATCTTGTGGGAACTGCCTGACCAGATCAATGGGTGTGGAGGCCACGGTGGAGCACCCAAGGGAGCAGGTGATCCCAGATGAGGTTCATCAGGACCAGATCTTGTGGGAACTGCCTGACCAGATCAATGGGTGTGGAGGCCACGGTGGAGCACCCAAGGGAGCAGGTGATCCCAGATGAGGTTCATCAGGACCAGATCTTGTGGGGACCGCCTGACCAGATCATGCCATGTGGAGGCCACAGTGGGACACCTAAGGGAACAAGCGACCCCAGACGAGGTTCGTCAGATCTTATGGGGTCCGCCTGAGCAGACCAAGTGTGTGGAGGCCACGATGGGACACCCGATGGAGCAGGCAACCCCAGATGAGGTTCATCAGATCTTGTGGGGACCGCATGATCAGATCAAGCTGCGTGGAGGCCAAAGTAGTACACCCGAGGGAGCAGGCAACCCCAGATGAGGTTCATCAGATCTTGCAGACACCGCTTGGGCAGATCAAGCTGTGTGGAGGCCATGGTGGGCCACCCGAAGACCCCAGATGAGGTTTGTTGAGATCAGATCTTGTGGGGACAGCGTGACCAGATCAAGCTGTGTGGAGTCCACGGTGGGACACCCGAGGGAGCAGGCGACCCCAGATGAGGTTCATCTGGACCAGATCTTGTGGGGACCGCCTGACCAGATCAAGCCGTGTGGAGGCCACGGTGGGACACCCGAAGGAACAAGCAATCCCTGATGAGGTTCGTCAGATCTTGTGGGGGTCAGCCTGAGCAGACCACTCCGTGTGGAGGCCACAGTGGGACACCCGAGGGAGCAGGCGACCCCAGATGAGGTTCACAGGACCAGATCTTGTGGGGGCTGCGTGACCATATCAAGCCACGTGGAGGCCACGGTGGGACACCCGAAGGAGCAGGCGACCCCACATTAGGTTCGTCAGATCTTGTGGGGACCGCATGAGCCGATCAAGCCGTGTAGAGGCTACGGTGGGACAGCCGAGGGAGCAGGCAACCCCAGATGAGGTTCGTCAGATCTTGTGTGGACTGCATGACCAGATCAAGCTGTGTGGAGGCCAGGGTGGGACATCCGACGGAGCAGGCAACCCCAGATGAGTTTTATCATATCTTGTGAGGACTGCGTGACCAGATCAAGCCTTTTGCGGTCCACGGCGGGATACCTGAGGGAGCAGGCAACCCCAGATGAGGTTCATCAGATCTTGTGGGGACTGTGTGAGCAGATCAAGCCATGTGGAGGCCACAGCGGGACACCCGAGGGAGCAGGTGACCCTAGATGGGGTTCGTCAGGAGCAGATCTTGTGGGAACTGCACTTCAGTTATGAACCTACAAACTCTATACGCAGCATCACATGTATGCCCTCTGCAAGGGTGATGGGCCTGGTAGGATGGAGGAAAGGCCAGAACGGGGAGTACTCCCATGGAAAAAAGGGGCGAGTCCTGGTGGCTGTGGAATGAAGGGTGTGGGTCCCAGTGAAGGAACAGATGCCTTCTCACACCCCACCTCCTTTCATAGATGTTAGGAGCGACATCTCTGGAAGACGCCTCGCCTACATCACATCAGATGTATTAAATACACTAAAATGCATCCACATCCCATGAAACATTTTCACTGTGGAGATGAGAGACTGAACACCTTTTTCTAATTTTGCTTTTGAAATATATTTTGCAGGATTGTTACATTTTGGTTTTCTTGGTATTTTAGTTTCTTTCTAATAAGCTAGAGGTTTCTACTCAGGTTTCTGATCTCTCAGACCTTCAGAAAGCTCAGGGGTAGGAGCCTCTGGGCCCCGGAGCTCCCCTTATGAAGCAGCCCTGCACTCCATTCTCATCACTGTGCACACTCCATCGGCCTGTCACATCAGTTCCCCCTAGGCTGCTGGGCCTTAGATGGAGCTTCAGGTCCACGCACAAAACCACCTCCCAGCTCCCTTCCCTGGACAACCCACAGGTACCTAACTCACTGGGTGGAAAGCCAGGCTCACCCTGAATCTTCTTCCCCACCCTCTGCTACTCCTCCAGAAGGTCTTGTTTCTCAGCCAAAGGCACCAGTCATCCACTCTCCCTGTTAGAAGCCCAGGAGTCAACCCCAGGGTCTCTCTCTCACTCCACACGCACAGGGAGACACGAGTCCTATTGGTTTCGTCACATTTCTCTCACCTGATCCACCTGTTTCCACCTCAGCAAAAGACTGCATGTCTGCATTCACACCATTTTTCACCTTCTAAACAGCACCCCAATCTGCCTCTCTCCATCCTCACTCCGGAAGCCTCAGCAGGGCCATGCTATCTCCTACCTGGATTGTTCTGATGGGCTTCCCAACTACTCTCTTCCCCTCCCACCCAACCCCTCCACCCCTGCTAGCTAGGGCTTTGCTAGGAGGCCAATTAGATCACATCAGTCTCCACACACGGTCTTTCAGTGGCCCTCACAGCTCCTGAGTTTAAATAAATCAGCACACATGGCCCCTTTGGTTCTGGTTCCTGCCTAGATTCAGCCCATACTCCCCTCCACCTCTCCACCCACATCTCTATTTCTTCATATAAATTATTATTATTATTATTTGAGACGCAGTCTCATTCTGTCACCAGGCTGGAGAGCAGTGGCGTGGTCTCAGTTCACTGCAACCTCCACCTCCCGGGTTGAAGCGATTGTCCTGCCTCAGCCTCTCAAGCAGCCGGGACTACAGGTACATGCCACCACACCTGGCTAATTCTTTGTATTTTTAGTAGATATGGGGTTTCACCATGTTAGCCAGGATGGTCTCAATCTCCTGACCTCGTGATCTACCTGCCTTGGCCTGCCAAAGTGCTGGGATTACAGGCGCAAGCCACTGGGCCCCGCCTATAAATTATTTTTGAGAGGCGTTGCACTCTGTCACTCAGGCTGAATTGCAGTGGTGTGACCATAGCTCACTGCAGCCTTGAACTCCTGCCTGTCTCAGCCTGTGCAGCAGCTGGTGGTATAGGCGCGCGCCACCACAACTGGCTTTTTTTTCTGTACAGACAGGACCTCACTATGTTGCCCAGGCTGATCTCCAGCTCCTGGCCTCTAGCAATCCTCCCCCCTCAGCCTCAGCCTCCCAAAGTGTTGGGATTACAGGTGTGAGCCCCTGCATCCAGCCATATATACACACACACACACACACACACACACACACACACACACATACATACACACACACAAATTCTTTGCTTGTCATTTTTGATTAGTGTAAGAAGCCTAGACTGGGTAGAAGTTCTGAATTTAAATCCGTGCTCTGTGACACTGGATGCTCACTTTTCCTTTTCTGGACTCGTTTTTTCATCTGAAAAAATGGAAATGCAACCTGTCACCCTCTGAGAGAGTTTTTTAAGAGTTGAAGACTTGTTTAAAGCTTGTAGCTCAGAGTAGGTACACAATAAAGAATGGCCATCATCGCTCTATTAGTCATTACCCAATGATTATGAGCCTTCACTTGTCTCCAGGTAAAATAAGTTAATTTCAGCCATGTATTTCCTTACTCCCCACTCCCCATGCCTCTCTTGTCTGGTGTCATCTCACATCATACAGCAGCTCAGTGATGGTGCTGGCCAGTCTTGAGTGTATATTCACATCTGTGTCCTTAGCACTCCATGGTACTAGCTCTGCAGGCACCTCTGTGGCCTGGCATAAAAGATTTGTAAGATAAGGTGGGTGAAAAGATGTGGCCCCAGAGACATAACTAATGCAGAAAAAGGCCACTGGGAGTGCTTCTGGACCTACCAGGTACACTCTGATGTCTACCTGGGTTCTCCCTTTTAGGATTTCTCACATGGTTCTTACCTGGTATATTCAAACAGTCATTTTCTCCAAATAGGCTTTTCTTTTCAAAGTCTTTTCTTTTTAAGCCAGCTTGGTTAGAATGGACAGCTGGGCATTATTAGGTCCACGGGACTAAGGGGATGACTGACATGAAATTGCTGGTGAAGATGGAACTGACCTAAGAGGACTAGAAAACTTTGTCTAGTAGAAAGTGGCTATTATTTTACTAGCTTTAAAACTTGCCAAACTCAAATGAACAGGGTGTTAGACTTAAATTGTTTGATCTTTATACAATGTGTATGTGTACCAAAACATCAAACTGGATCTCATTAAGTATATACAATTATAATGTTTTAATTACATAATTTTAAAAATTCAGTATCTTCCAATTAGTTTGGAGAACTGAGCAACATAAAAAATTAAAAATTGCAGGACAAATTTTAACACAAATTTTTACTTAATTGGCACATGGGATTTAAAAGTACCATAACTTAGTAAGCAGGAAAATGAATTCTTCCTACATCTTACTGTGAGGTATTGTTTCCACCATTACGACCATTAAACAGTGAAATAAACTCAGAGCCACACATTCAAGGTCTTATAACAGTGAAGTATTGAACCAAGTTTTCAAACTTAATAAACCATATTTAATCACATTTTTCACATGAAAAATAAATTATATACTTTCCTTATTTAATATATTAAAGGTAAATTCACTGACAACAAGACCTTGAAAAAGTGACAATATTCTAGCCGGGCGCAGTGGCTCACACCTGTGATCCCAGCACTTTGGGAGGCCGAGGTGGGTGGACCATGAGGTCAGGAGAGCGAGACCATCCTGGCTAACATGATGAAACTCCATCTCTAGTTAAAAAACACACACACACACACACACACACACACAGAATTAGCCGGGCGTGGCGGCACGCACCTGTAGTCCAGCTACTAGGGAAGCTGAGGCAGGAGAATTGCTTGAACCTGGGAGGTAGAGGTTGTAGTGAGCCAAGATTGCACCATTGCACTCTAGCATGGGAGACAGAGCGAGACTCCATTTCAAAAAAAACAAAACAAAAAACCCCAAAAAACAAAAAGCAACAACATTCTGAAAGTGTTGACATAGTACTGTTTTGGACATGAAGTGTAATTCAATAAATGCTGCCAACATTTTTCAAAGAATCTCAAGTGTAAATTTTTAAAAATCTCAATTCTAAAAGGAAATAACTTATGTGCGTGTTTCTAAATGCAAAATATGTTATTGCCAAGGAATTAATGACCAGGAAGCAATAAGCAAGAAAAGGGATTTATTTTCTTTTTAGGATTATTTTAAGAATTTCTCCGTAGCTTAGCTAATTATCTTCAAATCCCAAATACTATATTCTCAAAGATCACACTATCACCTACTACATCATAAAACAAGTTATATGGTGTGAAAAGAAAGAAATCTCGGGACTCCCAAATCACTAACCCAAAGACAAGTCAAGCTGGGAACTGCATCAGGCAAACCTGCTCCCAGTTTATTCCTAAATAAGATAGCTACAAAGACAAAGAGGCTACATACCTCCCCCCTCACCATTTGCCCACAAGGAATTTCCTTAAGCCAGACTAAGGCGTTAAGTGAAGATTACTCTCCCCTCCTCTCACATATAAATTGTGTAATCAGAAAAAGGCTAATCAGAGACTCAAAAGAATGCAACCATTTGTCTTATCTACTTATGACCTGGAAGCCCCCTCCCATGCTTCAAGTTGTCTCGCCTTTCTGGACAAAATCAATGGACATCTTACACATATTGGTTGATCGCTCACATCTCTCTAAAATGTCTAAAAGCAAGCTGTAGCCAACCACCTTCGGCACGTCCTCAAAACTTCCTGAGGGTGTGTCACGTCCATAACCTCGGCAAAGTAAAATCTCCAAATTTATTGAGACCTGTCTCACATATTTTGGGTTCACAATGGAACAGAGTGGCCCTCAGCTTTCTGCTGCACAGAGCTGACTCGAATCTTCTTTGGTGATCCCAGGGAGTTCTCATCACACCCTCTCTGGTGGAAGAGCACGTGGGCATTCTGTATCTTTGTTGTACACAAGTATGTGTTTGCTTTACAGCACCGCATTAAGAAATCTAAATAAAGTTTTCTTGTCTTGACAATCGCCCCATTAATCCAGCAAGTAACTACTCACTAAATGTGTTGAATGCAAAGCATAAGTAAAACGAGGATCTTTTTAGGGTATTGCTTAGAGTGGAAGTCAGGGGACCTCAGTTCTGGCACCAAAATCGATCCCTCATTTGGAGGGTGATAGGGCAGGAAATAAGGGGAGGAAGGGCAGGAAATAAGAGCTGTTTGATAACAGAGTAAGGGAAAGAGGATAAATATCCTATGGAAGACAAATTTAAGGAAATGGCAAGCAACATTTAAAAGTATGTTCTGTGGCACAGGGTGGGATCATCCCTGGCTTCATTTGGCAATTTCTGCAGACTGGCCAAATCTAGATAATTTCTGGCAATGATCCTCTATTTAACCACCATCGTACGCATGACTACGATGGCATGATCTGGAACTCGAATATAGTTTATCTAGTACAGGCAGAAATTTGGAAATGCCCCTAGAATATCTCAAAATTAGGTTTCGGAAATGCTAAGATCTCTGCCATATGGTTTTCAAACAGCTAACTGTGATTGGGTTTTTTGATGTAGTTTCCCTCATACGTTTTTTGTCCTGGGAGTGGGGGGTTTGGAGGTAGAGACTGCTTTGCCACGCTGACTCATGAATATGGTAAAAGTACAGGTGCTAAAAATATGTTCTCTAACTAATTATGCTCCTAAGTGAAAAGGAAATTTGAAAATTTTAATGGACAACTACTTCTTCTGAAACGTTTAAGGTTAGATTTCTTTATTAGTTTC